AAAACTCACTGATGATGCCGACTACGATGCCGGCGAAACGTTCGAGAATGTATCAAGTCCACTGTCAGATTCTGGGAATCATGACAACTACTATGACAGACGACTTGGGACTAGGTGCGTTCTACATGTTCTCCCTGAACACAAGACCAAGTTGCGACAACGAGGTCAACCCACTTCTATCAATCGAAAGGAGACTGAGACCACACCAGAGGCCACAACATTTTGGTCTTCATATATTCAGGAGAGATATTGTTGAGCGATCTGAAAAAAAGATGAATTTAACCATATTCACATTCATTTCACGCATCTGTAGAGTTCATCTTTTCGGCCAAACATACTTTGAGGACTGCACAAATGAAGCTATTAAATTCAAAGGCATTGCAATTCGAACACATTTCATTGAAGGAACTTTAACTATCGCTCCTTGCCTCATTTAATACGACTTAGGGCGACAAGAGTTCTTATTCAAGAACAAGTGAAAGTCTCGAAATATACTCATCATGTTTATAAGAGACGGTGTCAATTTTACTAGCAAATACAAGTTTTCCACATTTAAACAATCACAAAAACTGTGATTTTGGGCAGGTTGGGTGACCTACTGTCACCCGTAGCTGTGTGGTGTAGTGCCGCCTTGTTGCCACCTTACGCCCAAGGCTCGGGTCCAAATCCCGTTGGAGGTGCTAAGGTGATCCCGACCGGCTGGAAACTGTATCCCGCAGTCATTAAGAGAACTTTTGATGTCAACTTCAACTATAGGACCTTGCAACAACCGAAGTGGCCTAAGGTGACTAAGCTTGTTGTTTCAGATATACACAGTCTCGACATATACTCAAAATGAATATACGTACAAAGGATGAATCAGTACAATAGCACCCTACCAAAAATGTGGAATGAGACATGCCTGCTATGTCTAAAGGTCATAAATCTCCGGAAAAAGGTTGCATGACTTAGAGCTTAATGTGTTTGCGTCAAAATCACACTCTTACGAATCGAGTCCCACCTACATTATTGATTAATCTTTCAATCACATACTTACTTGAAACGCGAAAATATCAAGATATTCGTCGAAAAGCAGGTTATCTTTTCATATATAAGTTTTTGGTATGTAATTAAACAGCACTTTTCTAAAGCCTTGGATACTCGCCTGATCTGCACTTTTATTATTCAGGTCTGGATCATATGAGAAGCTGCCCGGGGTTAGACAGAACTCCTTCTGCACTAGGCCTACTGTAATTAGGACCTGGTTCGTTGGCGTGAACTGAATCATCAATTTGCTGGGAGTCACACGAAGGTAGGCCGTGATCACAGTCGAGATGACAGGTTGGCCGACCGGAAGAATCATAGTGACGTTGAAGAGGACTGCATAAAGTCCGATCGGCAGGCTATTGCTTGGCAGACTGAGGAGAGTCGTTTTAAGGTTAATATTGTCCGGCAGAACAACCTTTTCCACCGCCTGAAGGCGGGCCTCGTCTAATTCAAACACACTCCAAATTCGCGAATTCTTTTGACTCAACGAGCAGGGTAGTTCGACAATCTTGGCGGACAATTGAATGCTCTCA